ATCAAATAAGATTCTTGTCTATTAACAGAGTTTTATAGTAATATGAGGGTATAACAGAACTAAAAATAATCCTGATTTCTACAGTGTTCCTGCTCTGGCTTGTATGCCAGATCCATGCTTTGGAAACTTAGATGTATCATGACTTCCATTGAAAGTGCCAAGGCATACAGCTGGTTAGTTAAGAAAGGGACTTGGTTTATGATAGATCTTTTAGTCTAATGCTTTCAAAATAGAACAAAGTAATTCATTATGTCATTTGTAAAGTAACTGGGTTTTAAATTGAGTAGATGTCATTTTCGTAGTTACTTTGTGGGCAACAGTATGGATGCTGTCTTTACATCCCCAACTATTTCTGATTTTCTTGCCATTTCTTTATACTGATGAATTCTGATGTCTTGTTCAGCCCTACTTTTAGAAATTATAATTCAGAATACACCATTGTTAGTTTTCAAAATCAGTGTTATAAGGAATATTCACAGCTAAGACTTGTTTCTTTGTACTTATGTCTTTCTATTTTGGGATATTAGGTAATATCCTATTAGGTAAATAGAATTAGGTAACTACTATACAGACAGCTAAATACTCAGCAAGTTAGTGAATAACTTGTATTTTCTCAAATTCATTACATTAATGTGAGGGTTTGATCCTTGCACTTCCCTTCAAGTTTCATCTTTGCAGTGATAGTGTGGAGATACTTTAACCTCTTGTGCCCAAGTCTTAAACATGGGGGTAGGGAAGTGCAGAGTAATGTATAGCCAACTTTCTAAAGACTATCTTTTGAATCTCTCTGTATTAGAAACAGCCATGGGAAAATTCCTGAGGATGGGAATTCCAGATAACTGAAATACTGGGACAAGTAATTTTGTCTTTGGGCTGTAGTAAACAGGATATATGATACAATACTATGCTACAGTACCCTTAGCTATTTAGCCAAAACATCCACCAAAGCAGCCTTCACTGTTTGGATAATATTTCATCAGCTTACAAATGAGTAGAACTGCTAAATATATGGTGAAATGGAAGACCAGTTAAAACAGATTAATTCAGTTTCCATCTATTACCAAATAGCATAGGAAATTAATCTTGTATGTGTTTATCTGCCACCATAAAAAATGCCACTAATCCCTAAAAAATGCCATTACTCCAATAGTTACTTTATTTTTTTAATATGGTAAACAATTTATATTTTTCTTTTACATTTAAACTAAAAAAAAAAAAAAAAAAGGAAGGAAGTCTTTCTACTTGACCTCTTAAACCATGTCACCTGAAATAGAACAACTACAGGTTTTTTGTTAATTGAAGTTTAACAGCTTTAGAAACTGTTAGTTGATACGGCCAAATGAAGTAATTATTACAATGCTGGAATGTTGTGGTATGGAATATGTTAGATACTGATTGACACTATCATGTGTTTGTGTAGATACCATTCCTTACAGCACAGTAAATTCTTCAGGTGCAGAGACCATTAAATGATAGGGTAGCTGAGTCTCAACAATATTTAGGGAGCATGTAGATGTAAAGTATGAAATTTGAATGGCTGTTCACTAGTGATTTTCTGGTGTGTGTTCAGTGTCCTCTCCCATGATAATTAGCTGAATACTTGTGAGGCTCACCAGGGTTGCTTCTGAATGCAGTCAGGTTTACTGGTGACAGCTAGCCCCTACTTAAAGCACCTTATTATTACAACTAATATGCCTTGATTTCAGATCCTAGGCTAAACATGTACATCTTGCAGTCCGCAGAAAGCATTTAGTATGTTTTGAGATGTAATGCCCATAGAAACTCATAAAAGTATAGTCAGATTGGGGTATTACTTGACAGACCAGCACAGACATTTTTGTGACATGAGCTACTGCTAGGACTGCCACTGCAAAGGCAGCAGAGTGCCATGCCTTGTGTTGTAGCTGCTTCATGGGTACTGGCATATAAGACCTATTAGCGATATGTGCTCAACAGCTGCAACCTTCTGGTTGCAACTCTTCATTATCCTTAGATGTCTAATAAATTCTGCTCTTTCCTGTTACATAACTCTTTTTCTTATTCACACCCTTCAGGGAACAGAGAAAAGGAACAGACAAGTGTGTGAGAAAGGAAGAAAGGGAGCCCTTCTTTTCCCTACATTTTAATATCTGTAGAAGGGAAACTTTACAGGCTAGGAGAATACCATGAAAAATTATTTTCTGCTCTGGAGAAGGAGATCACTTGCAAGATGTAAATGTTTCTTATTTCTTTTTCTTTTTTTAGATTTGAAGGAAGCAATAGTAAAACTGTTAAGCATGCTTCATCCTTAAAAAAGAACGTAGGAGGAAGTAGTAACCGAGGGCTTTTTCTGAGCATTTTTTAGATTTGGGTTAGGGCTTTGGTTTGGTAGTTTGTTAGGTGTGTTTTTTATGTATCACTTTCCTCTTGAAATTCAGATGGAATAAGTAATAGGTAAATTTGGGGCTGGCAAGCTTTGGAATACTGAGGAAAGGGTTTCCCACATACAGTACTGCTGGCAGAACTGCTTCTTATAGAATAAAAGAGCTTCAGTGTCTTCCATTGTGAATGTCAAAAACTCTAATGAACTCTGTACTAGCAGAACTGGCTAATACAATTTGTACAGTTAGATTTCTGCTAGCTGACATAGAAATTATCCTCTTGTAATCTTATTCAGTGCAGGAAGGACAGGATTGTCATCAAGTCATATGATAATGTTTGGCCATCTCTCTGCATTTCTTTTCACTCTTCCTCCCAATCCCTGTTGTACCAGTATGTGCCAGGAGACATTGCTGATCCATTGGATTACAGTGGTTTTAAAGAAGCATAACTGAATAGATATTTGTTAGTATCAGCCAATCCTCATTTGTTCTGTTTTCCTTGCATTTCCCATTGCAGCAGAGACTTTGAATATAATTTTTCTAACTATCAATTCTTTGTTGAAAAAGGTTCTGTGCCTCAGGGTGGGTCTTAGTCATGTTGGTGATTTAAGCTTTTTGCTTCTTTGACCAGAAGACAAGTGAATCTTAAGGTGTTTCCAGGAATAGATTTCCTTCAAACGAGAATTTTCAAAATTGCTTTCCACTGATAGGGGGCTCATGAGGCAATCCAAACAAATATTCCCACTAAAGAGCAAGCTCTAAATTCTGCTGTATGAACCATTAGATCTGCAGCACTGCAATGAAAAATATTGTTTAGGCTTCTTAACAGCTTTGAATGCATATGGTCAATTCTTCATAGAATCTTGGAATCATTTAGATTGGAAGGGACCTTAAGGCTCATCCAGTTCCAACCCCCATACCACAGGCAGGGACACCTTCCACTAGACCAAGTTGCTCAAAACCCCGTCCAACCTGGCTTTGAACAGTCAGGGATGGGGCAGCCACAGCTTCTCTAGGCAACCTGTGCCAGGGCCTCACCAGCCTCACAGTAAAGAATTTGCTCCTAATATCTAATCTAAATCTTCCCTCTGTCATCTTAACGCCATTCCCCCTTGTCGTATGACTACATGCCCTTGTAAGACGTCCCTCTCCAGCTTTCCTGTAAGGCTTCTCTAAGGTCTCCCTGGAGCCTTCTGTCCCTGGAGACTTCTCTAGGTTGAACAAGCCCAGCTCTCTCAGTCTGACTTCATATGGGAGGTGCTTCAGCCCTCTGATCATCTTTATAGCCCTCCTTTGAACCCGCTCATATACATCTACATCCTTCTTATGTTGCGGTCCCCAAAGCTGAATGCAGTACTCTAGGTAGGATCTCATTAGGGTGGAGCACAGGGGGAGAATCACCTCCCTTGACAGCTGGCCACACTTATTTTGATGCAGCTCAGGATATGGTTGACTTTCTGGGCTGCAAGTGTACATTGCTGCGTAATTCTGATATCATTTTCATTGTCATCATGGCTTCCAAGCCAGTCTTCATTCAGTGGTAGGTTGGACTAAGCCAGCTGTCCACCCAGATGCTCTCTGTACTCTTCCTTAGCAGTAAAGGGGGAGAAAACAGGAGGGAAAATATTCATTGGTCAAGATAAAGATGGGGAGATCACTTACCAGTTGCTGTCAAAGGTAAAGCAGATTCTACTTGGGTAAGAGTGATTTGATTTATTACCACTTAAAATAGATGTGGATAGTGAGAAACAAAGACAAAAATTAAAAGAACAGTTCTTCCCCCACTCAACTCCCAGTGCAAGGGATGGGGAATGGGGGATTGCAGTCAGTCCATAATAGTTCCTCTCTGCCACTCCTTCTTCCTCATGCTTTTCCTCTGCTCTGCTGTGTGTCCTTTGTAAGCCATAATTCCTGCCAGGAGCCTGCTCCAGTGCGGACTTTCCACATGCTGCAGCTTGCTCCAGGGAAATATCTAGCTGCTCTGGCATGGTGACTTCCATGGGCTGCAGGGCAACATCTACTCTTAGCACCTGAAGCATCTCATCCTCCTCCTCCTTCCTCTGACACTGTTGTTCATACGGCTGTTTTATCACACTTCCACCTACTGTTTCATCCCCCTCTCCCCAGTTCCTGTGCTTGTATGGTATTTTTGCCCTTTCTTTTACGTGTTTTCACAAGAGGTCCCACCAGCTCAGTTACTGGGCTCAGTTGTGTCCTGCAGTGAGTCTTTTGTAGAGCCATCTAAAACCAGCTGTGTCAGGCATGGGGCAGCCCCTGTTTTTTTCTCATAGAGATTACCCCTGCAGCCCCATCCCATTTCCAACTCCTTGCTATGTACACCCAATACACCAACAGTTAGTCTTCATCTTAAGTTTAAAGGTGAAATCATACAGCTGCTAAAATATATCTGTTATTGAGAATCCTTATACTGAGTATGGATATGCAAATCAGATGCTGCAGTTAGGCTCACTATACAAAGAATGTTTTGTCAGTTTTCCTAGGAGTGGGAGTGGGAGCTATACTGGTTTCATTGGCAACTCAGGCCTTTAACAGGGATGCAGAAGTTAAATGCACCTTTTCTGTCATACAAAAATACCTGCTAGAATAGTATTTTTTTTTTTTTTTCATCTTGTCTTACAGATGTCTAGGATGACTTCATGTAGGGCGTTACTGCTGGTTGTGGAACTGCAGCTAGACATGATGATCTTACTGAATTCAGGGCAGGTTAAGAAGATTCAGCCCTATCTGATCAGCTTCCATGACAGAACAGGTAAATGTTCTCCGATGTTATTCTGTCAAAATAGTTCAGAATATAAAATCTCTTTTACAGTATGTCCAAGCTAACCCAACTCTTTCTGGAACAGCCAGGTTGGGAAGTGACTGAAGGTGCAATTGTGCCAACAGATCTGAGGAAGCTATGATTTCCATCAAAGGAGCTGGTGGGAAGGAGGTAGAGAAGGTGAGGAGCAGTCTGAGGAAAGCCTGAGGGTGATCAGCATTAAATAACACATCTTGGTAGAAAGCATTAAACATTTAGTTACTAGTCATTTCTGGTGAGAAATAGATGAGAGGCAGATGACATTCTGTGATGGAAGATAGTATTCCAGACTACTGGCTGGATTGACAATAAGTAAAATTATTGGCTGTGGTTTAACATTGATTACAGAATTGGTACACACATACAAATTAGTTGTCAGATGTTAGTACACTGCTGGCCAGAGAAATTCTCATTGGAAGACTGTATGCTCTGAGCAGTCAAGAATGGGACCCCAGAAAAATCACTTTGCAAATAGGATTCATGCTATGAAACTGTGAGCATGTCTAATAATGAAAACAGAAGGGAAAAGTAAGAATAAGGAATACTTAGGCTACAGGTCATCAATACTTAATTCAAAAAGTGGTATGCTGTCATCGTCTGCTAGGGGGAGATCTCGCAGAGCTGCATTTCTCAAGAAAAAGAAAAAGTAATGGGGTATTTTGGTGGAGCTGTTGTCTTAGCACTGTTCTACAACTGTCATCACTGGAAGGTAAGTGAGGTGGAAAACATGGGCAAACCACAGCCACAAAAGACAGTCTGTATTGCTGCTGAGTTGTTCTTGCTCCTTTCCCATGCTGGTGACATGTTCCATTCATCTGTCTCCCACACCATTTTTTTTCTCATTTTGATTCCCCTTTTCCCTCTCTTCATGTTTCTCCTCAGTACTTCTACCCCCTTTTCCTTGATAAAACTGTTGCTCACCAGTAAGTCAGTGTTGTGTAATCTCGTAATTGTTTCTTTTACTGTGTCTTTCCTTCTCTTCTCTTGTACTGACATTCATAAAGCTTTTGCAAAGAGTCAGTTAAACATTATGGAACAAGCAGGCTGTTTCTTTCAGAGTATTTTCTGAAATGTGTGAATGGAAATAAAGTTAACCTGTTGTCGTGGTTTAAACCCTGTCGGCAAGTCAGCCACGCAGTCTACTCCCCCCCCTCCACTTTCTTCCCTTCCCCCTTGCTCCCAGATGGATGGGGAGGAGAATAATAATAACGATAAGGGAAATAACAAGGGAAGAGAATACAATACCACCTGCCAACTGAGCCTGACCGAGCTGTGAGTGCCCTTCCAGTTAACTCCCAGTTACATTCCGGGCATGATGTGCTGTGGTATGGAATAGCTCCTTGACTAGTTTGGGTCAGGTGTCCTGTCTCTGCTTCCTCCCAGCTTCCCCTCCTCCCTGGCAGAGCATGAGACTCACAAAGTCCTTGTTCAGAGTAAACATTACTGAGCAGCAACTAAAAACATCGGTGTTATCAGCGCTGTTCCCTGGCTGAAAGTCAAAACCACAGCACTGCACCAGCTGCTAAGAAGGAGAAAAAATGACTGCTACTGCTGAACCCAGGACATTATCCACCCCTTATTCCATACCATTCACGTCATGCTCAGATCCCACATTTTCAATATACCATCGGTCTTACATATATACATTCACATACACAGATTGAGAGAAAGAGATCATTTCTTAGTGCATGGACCAGTCCCTATAATGCTGCTGAGTCCATTCAGTCCATGATGTCAGGTTCCATCTCCTGTAACAGTCTTTCGGGGCAGGAGAGGCTGTGTGCAGTGTTGGATCATTGCCTGCTGATGCTGATCATTCCTTTACTGCAGAACTTGTCTGGTTCTGTCAAAGTTCATTCTTGGCTGGGATAATGGTCAGAGGGAAGTCAGGGCCAGTTGCTGGTGACCTGAAGACATCTAGTTGATGGGCTATAAAAGTGTTACACAGCAGGCAATAGCATACAATTAAATTCATTGGCTGTTTTCCCCTAAATTCAAATCCCCTTGAGGTACACATTGGACTTCCCCATCTTCCCGCATTACCCACCAAGTATATCCTGGTCCCTGAGCAAAAGCAATCCCACTTGTGGGTTTGCCTTTACCTGAAGCAGGAATAACCCAGACTGTCTTCCCCAGCAAATTCTTCATGTGCACCACAGGAACTTTGTCCCCCTCTACAATACGTAAAAGTTCTGACTGAGCTGGGCCAGCCCTGTTGGCAGATCCTCTGGTGGCCTTTGGTAAGTGTGTATCCCAATGCTTGAAAGTTCCCCCACCCATTGTTCTCAGTGTAGTTTTTAACAGCCCATTGTACCGTTCCATTTTCCCAGAGGCTGGTGCATGGTAAGGGATGTGATATACCCACTCAATGCCATGCTCTTTGGCCCAAGTGTCTATAAGGTTATTCTGGAAATGGGTTCCATTGTCTGACTGCATTCTTTCTGGGGTGCCATGTCACCACAAAATGTGTTTCTCAAGGCCCAGGACAGTGTTCCAGGCAGTGGCGTGAGGCACAGCGTACGTTTCCAGCCATCCGGTGGTTGCTTCCACCATGGTAGGCACATGGCGCTTGCCTTGGCAGGTTGGTGGGAGTGTGATATAATCAGTCTGCCAGGCCTCTCCATGTTTGTATACTTCAGCCATCGTCCTCCATACCAAAGAGGCTTTAACCATTTGGCTTGTTTAATTGCAGCACGTTTCATGCTCATGAATAACCTGGGCAATTGTGTCCATTGTTAAGTCCACCCCTCGATCACAGGCCCATCTGTATGTTGCCTCTCTGCCCTGATGGCCTGAAGTGTCATGGGCCCACTGGGCCAAAAATAATTCACCTTTATGTTGCCAATCTAAGTCCATCTGAGCCACTTCAATCTTAGCAGCTTTATCCACTTGTTGGTTGTTCTGGTGTTCCTCAGTGGCCCGACTCTTGGGTACATGGGCACCTACATGGCGTACCTTCACCACCAGGTTCTGCACCTGGGCAGCAATATCTTTCCACAGTGCAGCAGCCCAGATAGGTTTACCTCTACGTTGCCAGTTGCTCTGCTTCCGTTGCTGCAACCACCCCCACAGGGCATTTGCCATCATCCATGAGTCAGTACAGACATAAAGTACTGGCCACTTTTCTTGTTCAGCAATGTTCAGGGCCAGCTGGATGGCTTTCACCTCAGCAAACTGACTTGATTCACCCTCTCCTTCAGCAGTTTCTGCAACTTGTAGGTGAGGACTCCATACGGCTGCCTTCCATCTCTGATGTTTTCCCACAATACAGCAGGACCCATCAGTAAACAAGGCATACTGCTTTTCACTTTCTGACAGTTGATTATACAGTGGGGCCTCTTCAGCATGCATCACCTCCTCCTCTGGTGACATTCCAAAATCTTTGCCCTCTGGCCAGTCCATGATGACTTCTAGAATGCCTGGAAGACTGCAATTTCCTACTCGAGCTTCTTGTGTAATTCGTGCAGCCCATTTACTCCATGTGGCATCGGTTGCATGATGTGTAGAGGAGACCCTGCCTTTGAACATCCCGCCCAGCACGGGCAACCAGGGTGCCAGGAGGAGCTGTGCTTCAGTGCCAATCACTTCCAAAGCGGCTTGAACCCCTTCCTATGCTGCCAGTATCTCTTTCTCAGTTGGGGTATAGCTTGCCTCAGATCCTTTGTATCCCTGACTCCAAAAGCCAAGGGGTCGACCTCAAGTCTCCCCTGGAGCTTTCTGACCATGGTCTCCAGGTAGGGCCATTCTCCCCAGCTGTGGTGTACAATACATTTTTTCACATCTGGCCCGGTCCGAACTGGTCCAAGGGCCACTGCATGAGCTATCTTAACGTTTAATTTGCTCAAAGGCTTGTTGTTGCTCAGGGCCCCATTTAAAATCATTCTTCTTCTGGGTCACATGATAGAGAGGGCTTACAATCCAACTGTAATTTCGGATGTGCATTCTCCAGAGCCCCACTGCACCCAAGAAAGCTTGTGTTTCTTTCTTATTAGTTCACAGTATCACAGTATGTTAGAGATTGGAAGGGACCTCAAAAGATCATCTAGTCCAATCCCCCTGCCGGAGCAGGAACACATAGATAAGGTTACACAGGAACGTGTCCAGGCGGGCTTTGAATGTCTCCAAAGAAGGAGATTCCACAACCTCCCTGGGCAGCCTGTTCCAGTGTTCCGTCACCCTCACTGAGAAGAAGTTTCTTCTCAGGTTTAAGTGGAACCTCTTGTGCTCCAATTTGTACCCATTACCCCTTGTCCTTTCATTGTTTGCCACTGAGAAGAGCCTGGCTCCATCCTCGTGACACTCCCCCTTTATATATTTATATACACTAATAAGGTCACCCCTTAATCTCCTCTTCTCCAAACTATAGAGACCCAGCTCCCTCAGTCTCTCCTCATAAGGGAGATGCTCCACTCCCTTAATCATCTTAGTTGCCCTGTGCTGGACTCTCTCCAGCAGGTCCCTGTCCTTTTTAAACTGAGGGGCCCAGAACTGTACACAATATTCCAGATGAGGTCTCACCACGGCAGAGTAGAGGGGTAGGAGGACCTCTCTCGACCTACTAACCACCCCCTTCTAATACACCCCAGGATGCCATTGGCCTTCTTGGCCACAAGGGCACAGTGTCGGCTCATGGTCACCCTGTCGTCCACCAGGACCCCCAGGTCCCTCTCCCCTACACTGCTCTCTAACAGGTCGTTCCCCAATCTATACTGGAACCTGGGGTTGTTCCTGCCCAGATGCAGGACTCTACACTTTCCCTTGTTATATTTCATCAAGTTATTCCCCGCCCAGCTCTCCAGCCTGTCCAGGTCTCTCTGGATGGCAGCACAGCCTTCTGGCGTGTCGGCCACCCCTCCCAGCTTAGTGTCATCAGCAAACTTGCTGATAGTATACTCAATTCCCTCATCTAAATCGTTGATGAATATATTAAATAATACTGGTCCCAGTACCGA